TCCTCCTCCTCCTCCTCCTCCTCCTCTTCCTCTTCCCTCTTCTTCCTCCTCCTCCAATTCCTCCTCTTCCTTCTCTTCCTCCTCCTTCTCCCAGGATTGAACTCAAGATTGTGTTTGCCAGGCTTATGCCACTGAGCTATCTCCCTGGCCCTGCTCTTTTCTCCTAAATATACGGCATCATTCTTGCTACTTTCAAAAGCAGTTCTAACAGTCCTTTTTCACGAGTGTCTTTACCAAATGTAATAAACAATGTGGTGAATGCTTCTGCTCAGTGCCATCCAACAGAAAGGGAGGCTCGTACTGTTTACCAGATGTGAAGCCATGTGGCTGCTGGCTCTTCCCCAAAGCCAAAAGGACTGTGAAAGGTAAACACCTTGAATAGATTTAGGGCAGTGAGGTGGCCACAACACACTAAAAGCATTTGTAAAAAAAAGACTTCCAGAACTCCTTCAGACAGTGACAAGAGTGATTGGATAAGTGTGCTCAAAGTGACAGGGAGTATTTTGAGGGGAATTAGTGGCATGGTGTCTCTTACAGTAATGACTTTTAAAATTTAAACATTTACTGTATTTTCCATCATAACCCCATATACAAGCTGTTGTCAGAAAATTGACTATAGTATCTTTTTTCTTTGTAGAGATTAAATGCCCTGGCCGCACTGGTTAGAGGAAACCTTCCTAAATTACACAGAAACATCATAACTGCATTGATTACTATTGATGTGCATGCAAGAGATATAGTCACTGAACTTGTGCAAGACAAGGTACAGGTTTCATTTAAGTAAATCGTGTGTTTCTTTCTAGCATCAGTGTGCATAATGCTTGTCATCATTTATGTCACTTATGCAGGTGGACACAGTTGACTCCTTTGAGTGGCAGCGACAACTGCGCTATTATTGGCTTGTGGACCTGGATAACTGTGTGGCTAGAATGGCACTCTCTCAGTACACATATGGTTATGAATATTTGGGAGCATGCCCAAGATTGGTTATTACTCCTCTCACGGTAAGTGACTGATCACTTAGGTTAGTACCATGAGAAATTTCATCTAACACTAACTTTTTGAAGGATTTCCTAGAACAAAGATTACCTTAGTTATGCGTGTGGGTCTTTGAGGATATATCAACTACTGTAAAACCTTCCTTAGAAAAACAGTGAGTTTTCTCCTATAAAAAGAAAGGGACTTATGAATCTGTCACCTAAGTCACTGTTATGGCTTGTGCTTAGGCATCCCCCCAAAATTTCATGTGGTCACAGGTGGGGCTTCTTCAGAGGTGGCTGGATTTAGAGTATGTGACATTGGAACTGATTCATGGTGCAATGCCAGGTTCAAGGGCATTGAATTAAGGGTGTGAATGCTGCCCACCCCAAGTACCCTGGATAAGATAAAAGAGCAGAAAGACCCTGTTAGAGTCCCTTGTTTTCTCTTGCTGTCTTCTGCTCGCCATGAACTCGTTCTCCTCAGCAGTCCCCCTCTGCCATGCCACACTGCCTTGGAACCAAAGAATTAGGGACTGAAACCTCTACAAACTGTGAGCTAAGTAAACCTTTTCCCTTTTAAATTTGGACCTCAGGTATTTTATCTCAGCAGTCAGAGAAAATTAACTAAGACAGTCACCTTTCTTTAATTGTGATAATTTATGGATTTCTTCAGGACCGCTGCTATCTTTGCCTCATGGGAGCTTTGCAGCTCGACCTGGGAGGTGCACCAGCTGGGCCTGCTGGCACCGGGAAGACAGAGACCACCAAAGACCTGGCAAAAGCTCTTGCCATCCAGTGCGTGGTCTTTAACTGTTCTGATGGTCTGGACTACAAGGTAAATTCCTTCGTCTGAACGGTAACGTTAAGTGTTTTGTGTGGCTTTATCCGCAACCTGACACAGCAAAAGAAGACAAGAAGAGCTGCTGACCAACAAGGGAAAGGAAGAGGGACACAGAATGCTTAAAATGAAATAAATAGAGCTGGGGGAACAAGTCAACACATAGTGGAGGGTGTGGTCCAGCTAAGAGCCAAGGCCAGGAAGGATTTGTCAGTTGGTGGAAAAACGTAAAAATCTCTGCATGTCAGCAAATAGAGGACTAACATGACATTCTAGATATAATAGCAGAGAAATGTAGAAACAAAAAGTGAGCTTATAAAAGAAAAAATGAGCAATGCAGAGATTTGTGTGCCAAGAAGAAAATACGTAGGATTATAGAAAGATTTTTTTTTTTCAGAACCGGGGATTGAACTCAAGACCCAGGAATTTTTTCTGTATGGGGGTTCTCAAGGTTTTTGGGCATGGAACCCCTTTACATTCTGAACAATTATTGAAATAAGTTTTATCTGTTGATATTGATCCATTGAAGATTTTTCTGCTTGTATCTGTTATATTTGTTTTAAAACAATAATAATCCCAAACCAGAAAATTTAGTAACATTAATTTTATACTTTTAAAAATCTCTGATATTCGGTACGTAGAATATAGGTAGATTCTCATATTTTTCCTATATTCAGTCTGTTGCAGTATTTTATTTTAATTGAAGTATTTGAAGAAAAATCTAGATGATTTTCTCACATGGGTATAAACTCTGATTTTTTGTTTGTTTGTTTTGGGGGGTGTGATTTGTTTGTTTGTTTAGGGAAGGGCCTACAGGGTGTACAGGGTCTCACCACTAAATCGGACTCATAGTGATCCACCTGTTTACAGCCTCCCAAGAGCTGGGATTACAGGTGTGTACCACCAAGCCCAATCTCAATTGCCATCTCAGCAAGCTCCAGGGGCAGGGGCAGCACAGCAGGCCCAGGGATGGAACTCCTGGCCCCTGTGCCTGCTTATACTTGCTTTAATCCACTGAGCCATTTGTCCAGCCCTCTGGTTCTTTTTTTAAATACAAAATTGTAAAAAAAAAAAAAAAAAAAAAGTCATTAGAAATGAGGAAAAATTTCTATGCTAATTTCCTTAAATAGTCATGTGGATTCAACATTGGTTGCTGTACTATATGATGTTATCTTCAAATTAATTGTTTAGGTTACCAGATAAAAACCTGAAAAATTGGTTAAAAATCAAAACAACACTAACAAAAAAGTTATACAAAATTAAAAAGCAAAAAAAATTATAAGAATAAAAAGAAAAAAAATTAAGCATTAACTGATCCTTTCAAAAGACCAGCAAAAATTGGCGGTATAATTATTCAAACTATCCTGCATGTGAGCTCTGAAAAATAAATATTTTTAGTAACTCTTTCCAGTAATTGAATAAAAAGGTAGGTAACCAAGTCCGCATCTTGTACAGCAATTAACCA